ATTTCTTAGAAATCGGTAAATATACGTAAAACAACACGAGTCGACTTATCTCGGTAAACAATAATAAACGAGGCTGTATCCGTCGCGGAGGCATGGTGGGCGCGGCTTTTTTATAGCCCTTATCATGTACAATCACGAAGTGTGGAGCCTTCGTAATTACCTCCTGACGAGATCGGATGATACGTATTCTATACGGATATTATTCCATTGGATAAACTTACGAGGCTTACTCCTCTATTCTTACCTAACGAGCAATGAAAGGACCCGAAATACAGAGCTTTCAGACCAGGAGACCGTATCGATGGTGAAGGAGCTCTACGGGACGTTCTACAAGGCTCTACAGAGCATTTCGTAGATACAGTTGTCTCTCCCTCCACGGTAAAGTTTCGGTGACCTTTTCGGGGAAAGCTCCCACCTCCTTTGACTTATAAAGGACGGCAACTTCAATATCTGTCATGTTTGTCGCCATGCCGGCGAAGACACGTAGCCATATCATCTTCGGTTTTTCTGGGTTGTCTAACACTGATTATCTGCACAGGCGCAACCCAGTACGCAGGATAGAATGAGCCAACAGGTCAGCTTATCCAGGAGCCAGTAAGCTATTACATAGAAATTAAAAAAAACATTGAATAAGAAAGTGTAACGTAACTTTAAAAGATCATAAGATTGAAAACGGATTTGAAAATTACTACTTACTATCTTATCAAAGAGAATGTCGTACTGAAAAAGGAAGAACAGATACGATATCTTACAGATACATTAGTCACAGAATACCAGCGTATTATAATAATAATAATAATAATTCCATCTCAGTCCTCACGGGTGACAACGCATCTTCATTTTGATTCGCAAACGAGGATAGATGTAGATGTCTATGGACCACAGCAACCACTTACCATCAGGTGGACTGTGTGCTCGCTTGTCACCCTTATTCTATAAAAAAAAATCTAAATAAAATATATGTAATAGTTTAAAAGTTTTGTATTGTTTTGATTAAAGAAGCTTATTTAATTTTCCTAGTAAATATATTTAACTAAGCATAATAATTTAAATATGTTTGTAAAGAAATTAAAATTGGCAAGAAATCTTTCATTGTAATCAAAAACCTTAGTTTTCCACCGACTATCGGCAACGTTGCAATGATTAACTGTCCCACTAACAAAAAGTCAAAAGTAAAGCTTTGTTTTCGCTTTTATGTTCTGTTAATAATATTTTAATTTTGTTATGAAGACAACAAGTTTGTTATTCCGTAAAATTATTTGACAAAACAGTAATAATGTACAATAATAATGTCTATTTAAGTACTTACAAAGAAAAACATGCAACTGACTAGTCAACAAGTTAGTCAGAGGATATAAACATACGATTATTTTAATTTTTAATTCCGTTGTCAGTAGTAAATGTTTATTTTTTCATCTATAAACATATATTATATCAATAAAAATATGCTTTTCATTGAACCCGTTTTATTTAATTCACTGTGTTAATTATTAAATTGTTATTCAGTGGAACCCAAAAGCCTATTACTGAATTTCATTAACCTATTATAATTAATTTATAGCAGTTATTCAAATATGTTATACATTTTATTAAAAATCAACTAATATATTTTATGAATTCAACGATACATATTGAAAAAAATGCATATAAAAATTAGGACCTTCATTTTAACTTAGGTACACTTTTTAAAAAATACGCCGACTCACCATCGGGTGGACTGTGTGCTTGTTTGTCATCCCTATTTCATGGAAAAAAACATAGTAACCCTGGCGCCAAAGGTTGTTTCATATTATCTTGAACGGTTACAAAAATTAAATATGTTTTTGTCCTACAATCAAACGGACGAAGTCACTTCTCCTTGTAAGAAATGAGAAAGTCGCAGTGCAATATGAATCGGCCGTGTTGCCCCATTGCTTGTTGGCTGACTTCAAATGTCCTCGAAATACGTTTAATTCCAATAAAAATAAGAATAACCTACATATCTTATGCCGGTTATTCTCATGTCACTTTATGGCTGGCATTTTTAAAAATAGTATGGTTTTCTACTTTTTTCATTATATCACCTAATCTAGATCGTGTACAATTTGTAGGACATAAAAGCATTGAAGTAATATGTACTACGTATTAGAAGAGACGCTGAGACTTGGTTGTATGCAACACGCGTTAGAGCCCGCGGGCATAAAATTACTTAGTATAATATGTCATAAAAAGGCACATACTCTGTGCACTACTGTTACTCTGTGTTGTTCTACACACGGCCCGTACTGCCGCACAAATTTTGTTCGCGGTGCCTGTTCTAGTAAGTATCTAGTACACATTACTTCAATGCAAAAAGTATATTTTTCCACCGTCGTCGTTGACTGCCGTTTTGGGCTGCTCATTATGTAGCCTCGGATTCGAGTCTAGGGTCGGACCAAAATCAGTTATTGAATTTTTCTGTTAAGAAAATCTCAGTAGTTTTACCCGTAAATGCCTTGGAAAACACGTAAAAACCGTTTGTCCTGCGCCTGATTTCTCCTCGGTAGGTCTGTCGTGTCGCCAATCATTCATCAGGAAAAACAATCAGACTATGAGAGTGAATCTGTGCACTATAATTGCGCTAGGTTAGACTTTTTTTATAGGATAAGGGTGACAAATGAGCACAGTCCACCTGATGGTTCCGCGGCCCATATACATCTACATCTATCCTCGATTACGAATCAAAATGCAGATGCATTGTCACCTGCGAGGACTAACACTGAATGCCTCGTTTCCAGTAAAAAGGGTCTCCGGTTCTCTACACTCACCATACGAAACACAGCATCGTTAAGCTGCTATTTTAAGCTGGTATTCTGTGAAAGCGTGGTCCTTCCCCGGTCGAGCCGACCCATTCGTGCCACAACTATACTACTAATATAGCAGCATGGCTCTACTACGTAAAGTTAGTATTGCGTTTGAGCCTATTTACAATTTCAACTCATACTAGATGTGCTCGACATGCGTTGCAACGCCTCTTGTTAGCACAGCTCACCGATCTTTCCCCGTATAGAGAACAAATCAGCAAAAAAATATATATTACTAGCTGGCAGACTAGAGCAAGGCAGACGTTGTTCTGCCCTTTCCGACGACCTTTCCTATGAAAATTTAATTCGCAATAAAAAAAATATTGAAGGTCACTTATCGCGATAAAAAGTATCCTATCTCTCGAGTTGGACCAAACTGCACATAGTGTGCAAAATTTCATTGAAATCAGTTCAATAGTTTAGGAGTTCATTGCGGACAAACAATGTGACACGTAATTTTTATATATAAAGATTATAAAATTCTTTTATTTTATTTATATTTATAATATTCTTTAATAATATTCTTTTGTCTTGTTGGAAACATTCGTGAACACAAAGAAATATTCTTAGTATCGCGTCCTTTCTATAGAATTAATAAGGCGCCACACAAGCTACTCGTAGTTGCGTAATATGACGATGCCGTAATTTAGCTTTGCGTAAAATTTACACTTAATTTGGCATGGTGCTTTTAAGCTATTTTCAGTAACCACCTATTTTATTATAAGTCAATGTAATTAATAGAATCTGGCGTTACTTTGCGGAAATCCATTATATAAAAGCTTTTAGAAAAATTTACTTCGCAAATAAACCGCTAAGTGCGGTTAGCCACCGTAGAGTCTATATCACCTGAGGATGCCTCGTGTAGAGGCGAAACACGTGTCGTATTATCGTCAGTGGTGTGTCTTGCCTAGTGTAGTGGTGTTGGAAGTAGCGGTGCTGGGATTAGTGGTGACGGGAATAGTGCACGCAATTGAGGGAGGGCGGGAGGTGCTCTTCATACTAGGTAAGACACATCATTTTATTTTATAACGCGGATATTTGCGAAGTAAATTTTTCCTAAAAGCTTTTATATAAGTCAATGCTTGACTGCAATCCCACATGGTAGTAAGTGGTGACGAAGATCTAGACGGTAAATCGCACTGTCCTAAATCCTATTCACTCTTGCCTTTAATTCACTCATATTATAATCCAATCCTTTGCTGTACGAGTTACGAAAGATGAAGCAAACCGTTTAGTTCGAATGCGTGGATTATCGACAAAGGGGAGAAGGCCCGCCAATCGTCTGGTTGTCCAATGGGGGAATTAAAGAAGAATTGTTATTTGTATCTTCTACTCCGTATATTCCCTTGGGTGTTATTTTTTTTTATAAGATAAGGGTGACAAACGAGCACACAGTCCACCTGATGGTAAGTGGTTGCTGTGGCCCATAGATATCTACATCTATCTTCGATTAAGAATCAAAATGCAGATGCGACTAAGATGGAATGCCTCGTTTCCGGTAAAAAGGGTCTCCGGTTATCTACACTCACCATACGAAACACAGCAGCGTTAAGCTACTATTTTACGCTGGTATTCTGTGAGAGCGTGGTCCTTCCCCGGTCGAGCCGATCCATTCGTGCTACAACCATAATATAGCTGCAGCATGGCTCTACCACGTAGAAAACGTTGTAAGAAGCAGAATAGATTTTGAGTTATTCCTAATAATTTGTATTGAAGTCAGTTGTAGAAATGTTTTAATTTTAAATTATTTTATATAATAACGGTGATAATCGAGCATAAGTGAAGTCGGTTGGACAATTTTTTTTTAATTTTAAGTTATTTTATCGTAAAGTTTATGCAGAAAAGTGGTAGTAGAAAAGAAATGTTATTAGTTATTGTACGAAAGGAAATTCAAACTTTACCTTTTATGTAATGATTTAAATCTCGTGGCGTCCTTGCAATTTAAATAATTTAAACCCTACTTCAACACACTACTGTGACATCAACATCATCTGTCACAAGAACTAGCTGTTTGCGTACATTGGATTGTTGCAATCGCCATCCAAAGTAAATATATAGGAGTGAGAAACGCGCGCGAATTCAGTCGTATGACGCCATTACGCTGGAGCTGATACTTTCGCTTTGAATAGTTCCGAACGCAACCTCCGTGCTTAAGTTATCTGTGACACAATTATGAGAATGAAGAACTCAATTTTAATATTCGCTTCAATAACAACTTTGGCGATCGGAGAAAATTTGTTGCGTAAGTTTTTTTTATTAATTTTTTTATAATATACCCATATATTGTTTTTTGTAAACGCTTTTCTTTCAAACCTTTAAGATTTGGGGAAAAACGTTTATGAGTTTATTAATTATGCGTTTAGAAGTTAAGATGTGATTTTTAGTGTTACTTTTTATCATTGCATTGCATTATCAAAACTAAATAAAAAATATCAAATTTTTCATGCGTATATAAATATATATTTAATTAAAAAGGCTCAGGTATTAATTAAAAAATATGACGACGGTTACTCACTTTTAAAAATTCTTCTGAAAACCATTGAGTTATATGTACTACGTACTAGAGAAGCCATTCCGAACATTGACTATGTTCAACTGAACTGTAGTGCAATCCATACAAACTAAATATTGCGTAAATTGAAGATTTGTGAATTCCATAAAATAATTATTATTACATTTTATTTAGTAATATGTTTGTTTAGATTAAATTAAGATATTTTATATTAAATTCTTATATTTATTTTATATTAAATCAAAGTCTTCGCGCATGCGCGACTACTACTCCCGCGCATGCGCGGAGACATAGAGTAGGACACAATTTTTGTTTGGAATGCCTTCTCTAGTACGTAGTACATATAACTCAATGCTGAAAACATTATTATTGCTAATATCGTTTCAAAACTGTATTTTATGGATCAAAAACAATTAGAAGCAGTCAAACCTCTCGAATTCTACGGGACAACCCCGCAATAGTATAATATTATACAATTATATTTGTATAGCATAACATAGCCCATTGATTGGGCTAATATAAAATAAATAAACATTCTACAAAATAGTCACTAGATCATATGTCCATAAAGTTTGCTGTGTTAGACGTAATTTAAAAAATAATAATATACTGACAATGAGTTAATATTGTTAGTTAGCGGATTTAAAAAAAAAGTTATAATTAAACGCGATAAAATCCGTAAAATCAGTTATATTTTCATGTGTAGTATTCGCGTAAATATAAGAAATCTTTACTTAGCAGTTTACTCAATTTTTTTTTTAAATTCATTTATTATATGTATAAATATGTTAAATAATACAACGTATTGGTTGAACGTTTTTTTTAACTATGAACTTTAATAAAGTTCTCGATTCTAAAATATAGCAAAAAATATACATTTAAGATCGTCTTCAAAATTGTTTAGAAAGTTTAATAAGGTATAACAGCGCTTTTTAAATTCTTAATGGATTAAGGGTTAATATTTTATTACCATATATAGACACTAGATGGAGCGCTGATCTTATAAAACAAGCAGGAAGTGGATGAACGCAGGTGGCTCAGGCCCGTGTTCTCACCATCGCTAAACATAGGAAGCTGGTGATGGATTATAGTGATAGTGATATCGTATTTATCTAAAAATTACTGACTGAAGGTCAGGTCAGTGCAGTTACGTACAGATTACAATTTTTACCAAGAATGCTACATATATATATATATATATACTAGCTGGCCAGGCAGACGTTGTTCTGCCCTTTCCGACGACCCGTCTCATAAAAAATCCTTAAATGCGCGATAAAAAAATATTGAGGGTCACTTATCAGGATAAAAACTATCCTATCTCTCAAGTTGGACCAAACTATGAAACATTTCATTGAAATCATTTCAGTAGTTTAGGAGTTCATCGCGGACAAACAATGTGACACGTAATTTTTATAAATAAAGATACATATATATATATATATATATATATATATATATATATATATAGTGGTAAGTGGCGAGCGTGGTCCTTGGCGTAAAATAGCAGAAAATTGCATTTGTTTGTGTACAGTGATTGGTGATTGACGAGAACCGTAAACCCTTTACTGCCGAATTCCACAAAAAGGAGACGGTACTTAATTCGACTGTATGTTTTTTATGTGTGTTATCTCATAACTTTTTACTGGGTGAACCGATTTCGATGATTCTTTTTTTATTTGAAAGCTGGTACTTCTCGTGTGGTCCCACGTGAATTTGAACAAAGTCAGGCCAATAGTTTTTGAGTTATTCTTAATAACTTATATTGAAGTCGGCTGTACAAAATTTTTAATTTTTAATTATTTTGCGTATAGTGATTGATGATTGACGAGAACCTTAAACCCTTTTACTGGTAACGAGACATTCCAACAGATTTGTCAGATAGAGGTGTCTATAGATCTAGTTACCATCAGGTAGACTGTGTGCTCGTTTGCCACAATTACTTCTACCAGTATAAAGAAAATCCTACGAATCATACTTACTAAACTTAAGTTGACGTAGTGTTTTTGCAGATTGATTAACGACCTAACTTAAAATCATGATTAATTATCTCATTACCTGTCTCGTTCTATTATCGTTTAGTGGAAAAAGAGAGAGAGTTTTTTAAATGGTCGTTGATAAAGTACAAAACTTCAAAAGGTAACAACAAATATGTTGCCTAAAAAGTTATATTTTTCTACCGACTTCAAAAAGGAGACGGTACTCAATTCGACTCTAGGTTTTCATTTTATATGTATACCTCATAACTTTTTTCTGGCTGAACCAAATTTCGATAATTTTTTTTATTTGAAAGCTGGTACTTTCTCATTTGGTCCCATATAAATTTGATCAAGGTCTGACCAGTTATTCTTCATAATTTATATTGAAGTCGGTAGTACAAAATTTTTAATTTTTAATTATTTTATAGAATAACGGTGATAAACGAGCACATAGTCCACCTGTTGGTAAGTGGATGCTGTGGCCCATAGACATCTACATTTATCCTCAAAATGCAAATGCGTTGTCGCCACGTTGTGTTAAAAATGGTCTCCGGTTCTCTAGACTCACCATACGAAATACAGCAGCATTGAACTGCTATTTTACGCTGGTATTTTGTGGTAGCGTGGTCCCGGTCGAGCCGATCCCTTCATGCTGCAACCATAACATATATTACAGCGTAACTCTAGCATGTAAAATTTTCATCCCCTTTCTCAGGGTTCCGTATCCGACGGGTAACCAACGGGACCCTATTACAAAGCCTCCGCTGTCCGTCCGTCCGTCCGTCTATCTGTGCGTCTGTCTGTCAGTGGGCTGTATCTCATGATCCATAATATACCTATGCCAACCTTCTGTTAATGTTAATCTGTTGCCGCTATAACAACAAATAATAAAAATTTAAATAAAACAAAAAAAAATAGAAACTTGTGTGATGGTACGGAACCCCTCATGCGCGAGTCCGATTCACACTTGGCCGGTTTTTTACCATTGAGGATGAAAGGTTTTCTTTAAATGGTAATGGGATCACCCGTTAAGTATAATCTATTTAGTAAAAAAAAGAATCGTCTAAATTAGTTTAGCCGTTTCCGTGAAAACAGTGAACATATACAAACAAACAAAACATACGTGTCGAATTTAACATTCCCGTTTTTTTTTTAATTCGGTTAAAATTTGGTTTTATTGACTTGCTTACGATAACTTGCTTTCTTGTTAAGAGTAGGTAAATTTGTTGTTTTTTATTTATTATTTAATTCAAAAAGCTAGGAAATAGTATTCAGACTTCTCGGCTGTAATAAAAACTATTACATGACTCAAGACGTAACAAGTTCGTAAAATGCCGTGTTTGTTACGAATTATTCAGCAGTTTGCGTGCGACGTTTGAATAACCGCTACAAACCGCTAAGATCAGCGTGAATGTGTGCTGAACGTTTAATTACTATGATGTAAAGGAATCGCTTAGTAGATGCAAATAGATTATCAAATAACGCCTTCCTAATATTACATTATCAACATCATCTTCAACGTTTAAACAGTTTAATTTTGTCCATAACTCGTTAAAGAAGGAAAGAAAAAATCGTTTATTTGACACAGATTTAAAATAAGAACATATCTAAGTGATCAAAGTACGTAATAGAGGCATCAGTAACTGCTTGTGCACTAACAAATAAAAAAAAAACATGTCTTTTTCTAGTTTTAAAACGACAATTGATGGGGAAAAGAGGTTCTCGTAACGGTAGGCAAAGTGTAGGGCGACCCCCTACTAGATGGACTGAAGACCTGGTAAGACATGCAGGAAGTCGATGGATGCAGGTGGCTCAGGACCATGCTTTGTGACATTTCTTGGCTGAGGCCTATGTTCAGTAGTGGACTTGTGAAGGGCTGTAATGATGATGATAAGGTAACATATGTTAATATTATAGCACCAATGCTTACTGGGTTGCACTATATACTTAACTGAGGCTCTATCTTAATAACATCCTCCAGAATTTCCCGAAGAATTTGGCTTAATTTTGGTCACGGTGACTTCTTACGTTGTACAGGAAATTTTTCTTAACCGTTATGCTTGACGATTGCAGTCAGCAAACATTTCAGCCTTAAACTTCTAAATCAATGTGTTTTTATTGATAAAACAGAAAACATTAAACCTATTGTAGTTAAGACAGAACATCTACGAGTTATTAGCTTGGAAGAAGCCAATATACCAATCACTTTGCAAAAAGGCCACATTATGAAACAAATGCTCGGTTCAAGAGAACATTCGATCCGTCCTCAAGAGTAGACTCGTCGCGGAATGTAAATCGGTGCATTGTCTTTAAAATTCAATGGTCATACGCCTAACGATCGTTAGTGACCTTGATTAGTTACTGGCTAGCTCCGACTGTAGCTACAATATTTACGGGCGTCTTTATTGGTCACTATTGGTAGGACTGTACTGTATGTGTTCTTCTAGTATACTCGTATATATAAATTACTACCGAATTTTTGATCTACTGCAAATCCAAGGTGGAAAATATGCGCATTTTAATTAAGCTATCAAAAGCTTTGGTCAGAAAAGTAATGGACCTAAAAGAGTTTACAAAGGTAACCCAAAGAAAGGATAGTAAAAACCTAACTTTTTCCCTTCAAGTATATATAACCTAACCTCCTGGGAAGGCTTTGTGTGACCTGACAAAGCCTTCTTGTTTTTAATCCTTCATGTTTGCACTGAAGAGATAATGGGCTGATTACAATTGCCTCATAAGTGACAAACGTTGGGG